AGGCCAGTTTGGGAGGAAGAAGCTTCCTGCTGCCTTCCACCCAGTAGGCAAGCCCGCTGGGGAGGAATCACCTGTGTGTTCCCTTGGCCAAGAGCCTGAGAGTCAGTACTGGACCCATTGTCAAGAAGACTACATTTGGCAATTCTCTGGGCCGGTCTAGGGGTGGGATGGGACGCAGAGATAAATAAGATCCATTTCCTCCCCAGGGGAGCTTACTGCCAGACATTTAGGGAATAATAATAATAGCTAATAATCACTGAGCACTTTACCAAGTGCCAGACACCGATCTAATTGAAAAGTAACTGCATGCTCACAACAGCCCAAGAGATAAATGCTATTATAAGCTCCATTTGACGTATGGGGATAATGAGACACAGAGAGATCATTAGGGTTGACTAATGATCACTGTGGGTGACTTAGGGATGGAAATTCCAGGAAGGGGGGTCCTCATTTGCTTCCTCTAAACAGCCTGCCCCAGATCACACAGTACGTGAGTTGCATGCTGGGATGCCTGAGTGTGGACCCAGGCAGTGTGGCGTCAGAGTCCCTGCATTTAGCCCTCATGCTACCCATCCTCTAAGCCAACCCAGGTGCCATGAGCCATGGCCAACACATACAGCATCTCAATCCCCACCTTGCCCCCTTGTCAGGAGGTTTTTAGAGTCTGTAAACTTGCCAGGCACCACAGTGTGCTTTAGGATATCACCATGACTCCTGCCCATTGCTGCCTGACACGGTTACATCTTTATCTATGGGCTTGTATTCTCATCCCTGGGAAGCGCTGAGCTCCTGGGACTGACTCTACCATCTCAAGTCCCTTGGACTGTCTTGTACAAAGCACGTACTCAAATGTGTTTGCCATTGAGGGGGTTGAGAATTTCCCTAGGTCTCTGTGACATAAACAGAGGGGGTTTCAACCTGTGCATTGGGAATCACCTGGGGAGTTTAACAAAAACTGATACCCAGACCCCATCCTCAGAGGTTCTGAGGTAATTGATGTAGGATGCAGTCTGAGCATGGGGGGTTTTAAACACCCCATGTTATTCACAGTTATTCTGATGTCCTGCCCGGGCTGAAAAGCCTCATATTAAAACTGTTTTAGAAATCTTGGCAGTTTCAGTTGAAGGAAGGCAGCAGAGGGAACAGCTTTGGAGACCAGTGGGCAAGATTCACGTCACAGCTCAGCCACTTACAAATTGGATAAGTCTGGGCAAATCAACTTTCCCAAGCCTCAGTTTCATCTTCTGTAAAAGAAGATAATGACACCTCCCTAGAAGTGAAGCACCTGAAGTAAGTGCCAGGTATTTGGGTGCTCCTGGGGGACAACAGAAAACAAGACAGCTATGGTCCCTTATCTTGTGATATTTACCTTCCTTAACTCAGCTTAACAAACCTTTACTGGGTTTAGGATATCAAGCACCATATGGGTTCAAAGATGGACGAGACATTGTACTTGTCCTTGAGAAAAAGAGAAGTAGACACTAATCACAATTAAAATAGAGGAAGGAGGATGACCAGAGAGGTACCAACCAGGAGTGGTGGGGATCGAAGGAGAGAGGTATTTAGTAGGCAGATCAGGGAAGTTTTCTGCGGAAGACACGATACTTTAGAAGACCCTTAGATCATAGATAAGATTTTGTAGAATGGGATGAGGGGTGTGGTAGTGGAAACAAACAAATCATGGAGGCAGGAACTGCCAGTAATCCAACCTGACAAAAGGGCTGGATGTGCATGCAGAGGAGGGAAGAGAATGTGCAGACACAGCAGGAAAATGCAGGTTAGAGCCTTACATGCTAGGGTGAGGCATTTATACTTGATTTGGTCAGCCGTGGGAACCATGCAAAAACTGGAGCTGAGTTGCATAATTCTTAGCTCTTAAGACCCAGACTGCCCCTGGCTTCGTTCTGGAGTTGGTGTCTTCTTTGCCACTGTCCTTGGGGCCGCCCCTTTTCTACTGATGGCCACCTTGGTCCTGTGTTCAGTGCCCTGTCGCTGCCATCAGGTGAGGGTCCGATGAACCCACTCAACCTCAAGCATGAGATGTATCTCCAGATGGTACCTCCCAAGGTAGTTGTATTTTGGCAAGTACAGTGAAAGGAGCACCAGACTGAGAATCTAGGGTTGATGGACAATGACTGATTTGTCAATTGCTAAACCCAAGAAGGTCTCTTTTGACTCATGCAAGGGGCTGCTGCTGAAAATGAGATATTAAGCATGAGGCTTGAGGGACAGAGATGGAGAGGCCACATGTAGGTAATCAGCAGGGTCAGCGGAGCCCAGCCTTGGCTTCATTACCAGGTATGGGAATGGAGAAGCCTCCAGATGATTCAAACCCCCAACTATTCAGGTGCTCCCAGTTGAAATCCCAGACACTGCAGGGCAGAAATAAGTCATACACACTGTGCTGTCTCAACTTCTGTCCCTCAGAATGCATGAACATAATGAAACTGTTGTCCTGTGCCACCAAGGCTGGTGGTAATGGTTTGTCACCAGTGATAGGTAAGTGGAAATGGAGGAAGATGTGTTTAGGGATAGTTTGGCAGGGGACTCCTCATGTTGGTGAAACTTCACCAGTGGGTGTCCTTCCCCTAGTGGGTGTCCAAGTCTTGGATGTCTGTGTATCATGGTGCTCGTAGGAGAGGAGGCGCACAGACTGCACTGTCCTGGATTATGATGCAGTTTATAAACAAGGAACTCTTTCTCGAGGATGTCCTGGATGCCAAGGCACTGCTCAGCTGGGTGGTGGGGTCCATCTGTATTTGTCCCATTGTCCAAAAGGCTGAAGAGTGTGTGTGTGCTCACACTGGTAGAGGTCCTCTAGGTGCATCTTACACACTCCATCTCATCTCAGCCCACCCGAGCTTCATGAGCAGCTACTGAAGGAGAGTTCCTCCCACTTTATTGATGAACAGCCATGCCCAAGAACACACATACAGAGTGGCAGGGCAGGGCTTTGAACCTGGTGGTAGGACTGAATTACAGGCCCTTTTGAGGAGCTCCGTGGGTGACTTAGCGAATGGAAATTCTGGGAAGGAGGGTGGGGTCTTCATTTGCTTCCTCTAGGCCTCTTGTTTTGAAATAAGGCGAATGAACCTGACTTAAGTTCTGTTTTCCGCGTCCGCGTCCTTCCTTTCTCCCTTCACCCCTCACTCTCCTTCCTTTTTTCCTCCAGGACTTTTTAGCAGAGGGCAGAGAGGACGAATCCACTCCCAAGTCCTCTATTAGAGAAGGCGTGATGGCGAGATGGGGGCTTCACTCACCAACCGTGCCAGGACAAAGGGCAAAGGAGGGCGGGCCGCTCCCAGGCTGGGTGGGGGGCAGTGAGGAGCAGAGCGGCCCTTCTCATCGCAGCCGCCACCCTGCTGTGCGCCGTGGACGTGAGGCCCTAGAGTCTGCGGTGCAGGGAGCGCTCTGGCTGGCAGGGAGGAGGCGGCCCAGTGGGGCTTCCTGGCTCGCGGTGTGTGCTGGGGAGAGGAGCACGCAAGTGCCGTTTTCTGAGGATTGTGCGGGACCCTATCACACGTGTGAGCTCATTCAATTCTATTTCCAGATAAGGCCCGGAGAGTGTAGCCGACTTGCCCGAGGCCACACAGGATGTGCGCGTCAGACCCGGTAGGGACGCGCGGAGGGTCTCGGCACCGGCCCTCCCCGCTCGCCCCGGTTCCTCGAAGCCCTGAGGTGTCCCCCACCTGGCGGGGAGGCTTTGGGCCCTGGCCCCGGCGAGGTCCGGAGGAGGCTCCAGCAGGGGGCGCCCCGAGCTCCGTCCGGGGCAGCTGGGCGCGCCTCCAGCCGGCGCCTGGGACGGGGCTGGCCGCTCCGCCCTCTCGGCTCCTCGGCTGCTCGGCTGGCGGGCGCCGGGCGCTCAAGGAGGAGAGGACGGCCGGCCCAGCCGAGTCCCCAGTGCCCGCCGCAGCGCAGCCTCCCGCCGTGAGTAGCGCCCGTCTGCGGGCTCGACGGGCGGGACCGGGCTGTGGCCCGACGGCGGCAGCACCCGAAGCTGGGGCTGGCGGGGCAAAGAGATCCGGGGCACTCGCTCGCAGATCCCGGGCCCGCCGCTCCGGTGCCTGACGCCGTGGCCCGGGGCATTGTGGCCGGCACCTGAGCGCGGGAGCTGCCCGCCACTGCCCCGGGGCGCCCTCTGGAGCCTGGCACTTTGGCCCGGGAGACAGGGTGGGGGCGGCGGGCAGAGCCAAGCACCCCAGGGAGATGGGAGACAGACATCCATCAAGTGAGGCCCCTTGTAACGGGCAGAGCACGCCCGGCTCCCGGCCAAGTCTTCTCAGCTTGGGCCTCCTCTCTCACCTCCTGCGGCCGCCTGGCATGAGGAGGTGATGGGAGGAGGGTGCTCAGATGTCTGAGCCTCCTGTGGGGCCGAATGAAGGTGTGGTCCCCCCGTCAGGTGCCCCAAACTGGGGTAGAGCTAGGGTGGGCCCCGGGACGGCCAGGAGGTGTGCTGCAGGTTGGGTCCCAACAGTTGACTAGGACGCTGGGCCAGGCGTTGTGGAGGTCTCAAGGCCTGCATCGGCCTGGCCAACCCTCACCATAGCTCCGCATGGTGGAAATTGGTATTCTTACTTTACAAAATAGAAAACGAGCCTCAGAGAGGTGAGCTTCGTTGAGGCCGTGCAGGTAATGGTAAGGTAGCGGTGCATACCGGAGTAGAGGACACCATAGCTGGCTCCCACAGAGGCAGGTGGGAAGGCTTGGGGGGCAAGTGCAGGGGCAGTGCCTGACATCTTGTACCCCGAAATCCCAGGTGGAGGGCAGGCACTCTGGTTGTCGACACTGTGTTTCCCAACTGCCTCTGTGTAAGGTATTCCTGGGAGAATCCTGTCGACTGAGAGACTCTGGCTCCTTGGCCTCTTCACAGCTAACGTCAGAGCCCTGTTCTTCCCCAAACCACTCATGTCGATGGCACCACGGATAATTCAGCAGCTTCTGAGGAGACTTGGGCAGGGGGCTTAGGGGTGTGTGGATGTGGCTTGGAGGTAAGTTTCTGGTTGCGGGAATGCGACCTGCACCAGCCCTGTCCACTTCCCTGCGGCCTCCCAAATTGTTAGCTGTGGGGTGAACAAGCAGGCTTCCCAAGGGAGCTGGACCTTTGCCAGAGACACCAAGTTTTTCTTGCGTCAACTTATGCAGGTGGCTGACCTTCTGCGGGCCTCAGCTTCCTTATCAGAGACCATGATGGGTCAGAGCCCGGAATGTAGAGAGGGGCCCTGTAACAACGGAGCCCCCTCCCTTCTGTGGGCAGCCTCTCCAGAGCCTGGTTGCAATGACTGCTAATGGGGGCGGGTGTGATGAGACAGTTGTGCGTGTTCGGCCCAACCACTGCCTGCCCTCTTGCTGTGGTCTTGTTTCACTCACTTGCACTGGGTGAGGTGGGGTGAGGAACTGATAGAGTTCACTTTGCAGAGTGAGATGGGTCAGTAGGTAAGAGGGCTTCGTGAGTATTGAGAGTTTCCTATGACATGATCTTCCAACCCTGGACACCTCCTCCTAGCTTGTCCCTCAGGAGGCCACTGACTTCACCAAACCCAGTGCCATCTTGGAGAGGTTGGGGTGGCTGTTAACAGAAGAAGGCCTGGGAAGAGGAGCTGGATGGGTCAGCCGTGTGATGTTCAGCAAGTCCCTTCCCCTGTCTGAATCTCAGTTTTCTCTTGTGAAAACAAGTGGGTTAGACTAGATAGCAGTGTTTTTCAAACTTCTGTTTCACAGTGTATTCTTACCCAGAACCCCAACATATAGTATGAATAACATGGAGCTGCTCTGGCCTCCCCTTCTCACCCTGGTGATCCTGAAGCAGGTCTAGAAATCCCTAAATAGATGATCTGTGAGATCTCTTTCTGTGGGGTTCTAGGAAATCTGTGTCAGCTCCTGAAGTGTTGCCTGGTATTAGAATTGTAGACAGGAATGTGAATTCCAAGGACTCCATCAGGAGAAATGTGGGCATTAAGGAGGATATCATCCTGGGAGCATCTGGAGCTGATGGCCTGTGCCTCTGGCCAAAAGTTGTAAGTCCCTCCCCTCTGCCATGTGGTTTTAGCTTTTTAGGCTGGAAAGGTCCCTGTGCTTCTGGGTCCTTCTTTGGGTCCTAGTTGGTGACTGTAATTCCACCTCAGTTTCTCTCCTTTAGTTTGTATCTAAACTGGTAAAATGCAAATTCGCCTTGGGAGGGGTGTTATGAAAGCGCTTGAAGTGGCGATCAGTTGTTTTACCTAATGAGCATCTGAGCAGCGGCCTTGAGAAAGGAGGCTGGAGCACTAAATTCAAATCAGCCAAAACTTAGGGAGTGCCTGCTGTATACTAGCCTACGACAAGGGGACAGAGGTGAGAATGCCACAATTCTTACCCTTATGGGGCTCTAAGACACAGGGAGGAGGGAAGGAATTCACACCATCCAGGGACCATTTAAAACATTATACATAGGTTATTATCTCATTTGTTTCACATTAGTCTCATTAAAAAAATAAGTGAAATTTTGATTGCATACAAAATAAGCATACATCCCGTATATCCCTCTAACTACTATCCAGATCAGGAAACAACATTGCCGGCACTCTGAAGCCTCAGAAGCTCCCCTTCCAGCTCTCCCCTGAGTGAGGGGATAACCACTCTTCTGACGTTTAGCACTATTTATTAATTTTACCTACATGGGATCACACAGTACGCAGTTTTTGTGTCTGGCTACTTTCTTTTTTTTTTTTTGAGATGGAGTTTTGCTCTTGTTACCCAGACTGGAGTGCAATGGCACGATCTAGGCTCACTGCAACCTCCGCCTTCTGGGTTCAAGCAATTCTTCTGCCTCAGCCTCCCAAGTCGCTAGGACTACAGGTGCGCACCACCATGCCCAGCCAATTTTTGTATTTTTAGTAGAGACGGGGTTTCACCTCGTTGACCAGGATGGTCTCGATCTCTTGACCTCGTGATCCACCCGCCTCGGCCTCCCAAAGTGCTGGGATTATAGGCGTGAGCCACTGCGCCCGGCCACTGTCTGGCTACTTTCATTCAACATTATGTTTGTGAGATTCGACCTTGTTGTTGCAGGTAAAAGTAGTTTGGTAATTCTCACTGCTGTATAATGATTCCATTGTGTGGGTGTATAGTGCCTCAATTTGTATATCCAGTCTTCTATTGATAACCATTTGGTTGTTTCCAATTTTTAGTTATTACTAATAGCATTGCAGTGACCATTATAACATGGATCATTTGGGAAAACATGTTTCTCTTAGGTATGTCCAAAGAAATTCCCCAACAGTTTTCCAAAGTGGTGGTCCCAGTGAGTACCCCTCCTGGCAGTGTTTGAGAGCTCTAGTTGCTGCACATACTCACCAGCACTAGACATTATCTTCGGTTCATTTTCCGGGGAAGGGATGTGAAGCTCAGAAGAGTTATCCTGTGCTCAGCTGAGCACAATGTGCCAGTAAGTGACAGAGCTGGGATTGGAACCCAGGCCTATGTGATGACTAAATCTCTTCTCCCCATCTGTGTTAGACATAGACATAGATTATGACACGAGCCAGAATGTGATTAACTCTAACCCTAAAAATGTATGAAGAGCACTCTTGGGGAACTTAAAGAAGGGGAGAATTGTCATCTGTTTTTGGGAGAGCAAGGATCACGAAGCCACACAGAGATAGCAGCATTTGGCTGGGTCTTGTGGGAAGTGGGCAGTTTTGTCCATTCTCCAGGACTTTCCACGTGGGCCTCTCAAGGCAGGGGCCCCACTTCAGCCAAGACATAGCAAGGGTGAAAGTTTTAGGGGACTGGGACAGGTTAACTTGGGCTAGAATATAGGATATGTGAGGGAGGGGGCAAAGGCTGGAAAGGTGAGTTAAAGCCTAACTGGTGGGCGTAGTTTGTCCCTAGGGGGCTCACCTGCCCCCTACCCCCTGGCCACACAGGATGTAGAGCCCAAGGCAGAGGCTTATCATTTTGCTGGGAACTGGGGCTTCCTTGAATCCTGCTCTCAGCAAATGGAGCTGGCCTCTCACCAAAGGGGAGATCTTAGCTGTTCCTGGGACCACTCTCAGGGTTTCTACCAACAGATTTTTTTTTTTTTTTGGAGTTTCCTGCTTGTATCTAGCTGTATGAAATTGGTAACCCCACTCTGCAGGACCTGACCCAAATAGTTTATTTGGAAGAATATATTTTTCAGTGAAAATATGATGGTAGAGCCAGGCGCGGTGGCTCACACCTATAATCCCAGCACTTTAGGAGGCCGAGGCAGGTGGATCACAAGGTCAAGAGATTGAGACCATCCTGATCAACATGGTGAAACCCCGTCTCTATTAAAAATCCAAAAAAAAAAAAAAATTAGCTGGGCATAATGGCACGTGCCTGTAGTCCCAGCTACTCGGGAAGCTGAGGCAGGAGAATCGCTTGAATCCAGGAGGCAGAGGTTGCGGTGAGCCGAGATCGTGCCATTGCACTCCAGCCTGGGTAACAACAGCGAAACTCTGTCTCAAAAAAAAAAAAAAAAAAAAAAGAAAGAAAGAAAAGAAAATATGATGGTAGATAGCATTCCCTTTACCCTCTAGGCCAGACTCAGGAGATTTGCCAGGATGTTGGGGGTGAGTGTGGGTCGAGCTTCTGATTATGGTCAAGCCAAACTTGCCAGAGGACTCCCTGGCATGGGTTAAATCACAGTAATAATCATCCTTCTTATTTGTACAGTAGTTTATATCCTTATCCCCACATGGATGTGTGAAGTAGGTGATATAGATAGTATCACTATAGTTTTTTTGTTTTTGAGACTGAGTCTCACTTCATTGCCCAGGCTAGCGAGCAATGGCAAGATCTCAGCTCACTGCATCCTTTGCCTCCTGGGTTCAAGTGATTCTCCTGCCTCAGCCTCCTGAGTAGCTGAGATTACAGTTGCCTGCCACCATTCCCGGCTACTTTTTGCATTCTTAGTTGAGATGGGGTTTCACCCTGTTGGCCTGGTTAGTCTAGAACTCCTGACCTCAGTGATTCAACTGCCTTGGACTCCCAAAGTGCAGGGATTACAGGCATGAACCACCGCGCCTGGCCTGTATCACTATGTTTACAGGTAAGGGGATGAGGTTCAGAGAGGGTGCCCACCTGCTCTGGGTCACAGGGCTAATACACACCCATACAAGTCTGGAACTGGGGCTCCTAGAGCCTGCTCTTTTTAGTATTTCATGCTTGCCCCAGCCCTGGCCAAGCACAGAGGAGGCATGATGGAGCCTAGGCACCGACAGGCAGGTGACCCTGAGAGTAAGCCCTGGCAGCCAGGCCAGCTCTGCCTGAAGGTCTTCAGCATCTTTGTGCCTCGGTGGAAGGGAGAGAGGCATGTAACGTCTTGGTAATGCAGCACTGGTTTGCAGGGGGCTGAGGTGGAGGAAAGAGGGTGAGATGTATACACCCCCTGAGAGTTAGGACAGCTCTAGTCACTTGGTGTTAATAAGATGTGCACTTATGTAATGGTGCCTCCACCCAGCCTGGTGAAAATAGTCTTTTGGGGCTCATGGAGCCCATGTGTGGTTGGAAATCTGATTGGCAGACAGCAGGAAACCCCCAGTGCTAGCCAAAATGAGCTTGGAGAGGCCTTTGCTAAAGACCCTTGGAAGACACACCCACAGGCAGCTGGTTTTATTCTTGTGATTTGCAGACTGTGCCCTGGGCTCTGCTCTTGGGGTGTTATCCAGAGTGGCACATGGCTGTCTCAGAAATGGATAAGCCCCTTGGGGCAGAGGAATCCCAGGAGAGGATGCAGACAGTCTCTTCTGGTGGAGTGTAAGTGCTCCCCATGGCTCAGAGTTGGCCTATGGCTTTCAATGAGAGGCTTGGGCCAGGCAGAGTTGGCTTGATTTTATACAGATGAGGACACTGAGGCCCCTCTGACAAGAGAGGAGATCACAGGGCTAGTTGTAGGCAAAGCTGGAATGAGCACCTCAGGCTCTTGAGTCCTGGTGCCTATTGGAATTTGCCTCACTCCTCCTGCCCGTCTTTATATATGTATGTTTATATATATATACAAACACACACATATATATACACACACGTATATATATACACACACACACATGTATATATACACACACACACATATACACACATATACACACATGTATATATACAAACATATACACACATACACACACGTGTATATACACACATACACACGTGTATATATACACACACGGATATATACACACATGTATATACACACACGTGTATATATACACACACACATATATACACACACACATACACACACACACACACACACACACACACATATATATATTTATTTATTTATAGAGATGGGGTTTCACCATGTTGATCAGGCTGGTCTCCAACTCCTAACCTCATGATCCGCTCACCTCGGCCTCCCAAAGTGCTGGGATTACAGGTGTGAGCCACCACGCCCAGCCCTGCCCATCTTTATTTTGGGGGTGGTGAGAGAGAGAGTTTGCAGATTAGTTCAGATACGCAGTTACGTGGTACAACTCCTGAGGGAGCCGAAGTCATGATAATTCCTTACCTATCAAAAGCATTTTATAGTTTACAAAATAATTTCATGACTTAAAGTTGATTTTACAGTATTAGCCCCATTTTATAGATAAGGAAACTAAGCATCTGGCAGCTTAGGTGACTTACCCAAGTAAGACTGGGACTTGTACCTAGGATTTCTGACTTTAAAGCTACTGATTTTTTTTTAAATTTGAGACCGAATCTCACTCTGTTGCCCAGACTGGAGGGCAATGATGTGATCTGAGCTCACTGCAACCTCTGCCTCCCAGGTTCAAGTGATTCTTGAGCCTCAGCCTCCTCCTAAGTAGCTTGGATTACAGGTGCATATCACCATGCCTGGTTAATTTTTGTATTTTTGGTAAAGATGGGGTTTCACCATGTTGGCCAGGCTGGTCTTGAACTCCTGACATCAAGTGATCCACCAACCTCAGCTTCCCAAAGTGCTGGGATTACAGGTGTAAGCCACTGTGCCCGGCCTTTTTTTTTTGAAATGAAGTTTCGCTCTTGTTACCCGGGCTGGAGTGCAATGGCGCGATCTCGGCTCACTGCAACCTCCACCTCCTGGGTTCGGGCAATTCTCCTGCCTCAGCCTCCTGAGTAGCTGGGATTACAGGCATGCGCCACCACGCCCAGCTAATTTTTTGTATTTTTAGTAGAGACGGGGTTTCACCATGTTGACCAGGATGGTCTCGATCCCTTGACCTCGTGATCCACCCGCCTCGGCCTCCCAAAGTGCTGGGATTACAGGCTTGAGCCACCGTGCCCGGCCCTTTTTTTTTTAAATTAACTGTGCAACAACTGCCTCTTTTTGCAGTAGTTTTGAATTTAATGAAAACAAATTGTTGAAGTTCATCATGGATGTTTCTCTGAACTTGAGACAGATCTGAAGACCTAAGGAATTCTCCTTTTTTGTCTCCTTAACAAATTTGAATTCATATAAATCAAATAAGAACCATACATCGTCCTCTGCAGGTGAGAAAAGGCTTGAGCAGGGCAGTTCTTGAGGAAGCGAGGCTGCAGATTATTACTAAATTATTAGCTCCCTTGCACCCAGTTACTTTTAGGCCTTAGACTCCTAGGCTTGTGCTAATTTGGATGACTGTCCTAACCTCAGGTTTCTTCCCATTTCAGTGTTATATGTCCCAGGCCTCAATGAGGAGCCCAAACATGGAGCCCTTCAAGCAGCAGAAGGTGGAGGACTTTTATGACATCGGAGAGGAGCTGGGGAGGTAGGAGACTGTGTGAGAGGTTGGGGGATGCTGAAGGAGCCAAAGTCACGCTTCTTCTGACACAATTGTCAGTTGGTGTTGGAAGGCAGGGCCACAGGACCAGTGGGAAGCTTTAAAAACGAGCCTGGGGTTTATTCACCTGCCTGGGTGACTGTGCACATAATCATTGCTCTGGAAATAATGACTTGCCAGTAAAAGGGATGAGAATTGTTGACCTCTGTGTTTTCAACATAATCTGGCTGGCAGGGAAAACCTTCATAATTCTTGTTTGATCTGTTACTTTTTCATGAAGCTCCCCCAGGCTCTGGATGGAGACCTGACTTGGTTTTCTTCTGAGTCTTACTTGGGATTCTCCATGGTTCCCAGGGTTTTGTTTTAAGCTCAGAACCTGAGTGGGAGGTGAGGTCATCCTCCTGAGAATGGATTTACCAGCCACATGAACCCCATCATGAAGTTTTCCTGGGATCTTTGTTACTTGGTTTGCTGAGTCCAGAACACAGCCAGGGTGAAAATCAGATCTGAAAGTACTATAGTTACTATTTGGATAGAAAATAAGATTTTCCGGAGGTCTTTTCTTGCCTTCCACTTCTAACGACTGCTAATAGTTAGGTGGTAATGTAGTGATTACGAAACGCCAGTCTTGAAGTTTGAGTCGCACAACAATGCATGAAAAGTAGACATTATTTCTTCTCTCGTTTTCCAGATGAGGAAACTGTGGTCCAGCATTTGGGCAAGTTACCCAAAGTTGCTGAGCCAGTGAGTGAAATAGCCAAGGTTCCGACCAGTCCATTTTGCACCTGCACCCCTGTTATGCCCTCTCCCATGAGCTTGGCACTTGTACACTCACACATGCTCATCAGAACACCTAGCCTCACCTCTTCACACACACTGCGGCATGAAAACATGGGAATGTAGAGTGGGTAGACCCAGACAGGTCTTAGTTAATTTATAAAGTTTATTTTGTCAAGGTTGAAGATGCACACCCATGACACAGCCTCAGCAGGTCCTGATGACCTGTGCCCAAGGTGGTCACAGCACAGTTTGGTTTTATACCTTCTAGGGAGACATGAGACATCAATCAAATATGCAAGCTGAACATTGCTTTGGTCTGGAAGGGTGGGACAACTGTAACTCTAAGCAAAGGTGGGAAGGCTCTAATGGGGAGGGGACTTCCAGGTCATAGGTAGATAAGAAACAAATGGTTGCATTCTTTGGAGTTTCTGATTAGCCTTTCTAAAGGAGGCGATCAGGTATACCTTAATCTCAGTGAGCAGAGGGGTGACTTTGAATAGAATGGGAGGCAGGTTGGCTCTAAGCAGTTCTCAGCTTAACATTTCCCTTTAGTTTAGGGATTTGGGGGCCCCAAGATTTATTTTCATCTCACAAGTGTCTACTGTATCCAACAGGCAAACAGGAGTTATCTTCCCTTTATAGAACTCCTAGGTCAGGACTAGTTGTCTTACTTTTTTTTTTTTACTTTCAAAGACAAAACAGATCTTCAAAGACAGAAGAGCTTCACTCCAAAGAGAATGACAGGCAGCAGGTGCTTCAAGAGCAGGGAGTTTATCCTGGCTGGCTGGATGGTGGGTAGGGGAGCAAATAACTATAGAGATCCCAGAGGGGAATGACTTTTCCCCATCTGGGGCCTGGTGAAGGGGTAGGAAGAGGACGTAGGACCAGAGGCTGGGGTTGGTCAGCTGGAGCCTGCCTCTGGATGGGAAGCCAGGTTCTCTTTGCCTCAGATTCTTCTTCTACCCTTGGTGACACCAGCAGAAAGGTGGCACTCTTGGCAACAGACCGCAGCCAGCCCTGCTGGTGGTGCTTGATTCAGTGCCCTCACTTGGCCATGTCCTGTGTGTAGGGGTCTGTGCTGAGTACTGTGGGTACAAAGATGAGCAAGATCAGATAATCTCTCCCCTCCTCGAGCTCCACCCTGGCAGTGAGGCAGCCACACACATGCTAACAGGGCATTCTTGGATCGGACTAGAGTCTGGGTGGGTAGAGAAACTGAGAAGTTGTCGGGGGTGGGACTCTGAAGAAGGAGGTAGAAGCAGTTTCCTGGGGATTGCATTTATGATTCCTTCTTAGTCTTGTCTCTCCCCTACCGCATACACAAGGACATGTGCTGTTAGACCCAGAAGAGACCTCATGTTTCCTGGTCCTCCACCTGAGACAGGGTGTGGATATCCCATGCACTGCACAACCTGGGGTGTCTTGGGATGATTCTCACCTCCCCTGCTCTTCTTTTTTTTTTTTGAGATGGAGTCTCACACTGTTGCCCGGGCTGGAGTGCAATGACTAGATCACCGCAACCTTTGCCTCATGGGTTCAAGTGATTCTCCTGCCTCAGCCTCCCAAGTAGCTGGGATTACAGGCACCTACCATCACGCCTAGCTAATTTTTTGTATTTTTAGTAGAGATGGGGTTTCACTATTTTGGCCAGGCTGGTCTTGAACTCCTGACCTTGTGATCTGCCCTCCTTGGCCTCCCAAAGTGCTGGGATTACAGGTGTGAGCCACCACACCCAACATTCCCTACTCTTCTAAAGTGCTAATGGGGCACAAGGTGAGTAAGCCGCATATGAGGTCCAGGGGCCAGCGGCCTTTGGAGTGGCCAGATGTTCTAAGATTTGTGGTCTAGAGGTCAAATGAGTTAGAAGGCCTTTAGAGGTCCTCTCTTCCAGGCCTCTCACTTGGCAGTTGAGGAAATAGAGGCTCAGAGAAGGGAAAGGTCTTGCCTGGGGCCACAGAACAGGCTAGCACTAGAGCTGCCTTTGGATGACCACCTGAAGGAACAACCCTATTCTTCTCTCCTGCCCTCCTGTTCTTCACTTAACATATTTTTTTTTTTTTTTTTTCGAGACGGAGTTTTGCTCTTGTTACCCAGGCTGGAGTGCAATGGTGCGATCTCGGCTCCCCACAACTTCCGCCTCCTGGGTTCAGGCAATTCTCCCGCCTCAGCCTCCCGAGTAGCTGGGATTACAGGCACGCGCCACCACGCCCAGCTAATTTTTTGTATTTTTAGTAGAGACGGGGTTTCACCATGTTGACCAGGATGGTCTCGATCTCTTGACCTCGTGATCCACCCGCCTCGGCCTCCCAACACTTAACATATTTTTGAGGATCCACTATGTGCACTGTCTGAGCAGTGGAAAGCAAAACAGATATAGTCCTGTCCTCTGGCAGTTTGTGCTCCTGAGGCTGGTGTAGAAAGGCACTAGACAAGTGGACGCCAAAGGATAAATCACCATAAGGTGTGTTAAGGGCTAAGAAATAAGAGAAAAGGATGCCCTCATGGAATGATGGGGGATGTAGTTCCAACTGGGTGGCGAGAGATGATTGCTCCGAGGAAGTGACTCTTAATTTGAGAACTGAGGGGTAAATGAGCAAGCAAAGTCAGTAGCATGGAGGAGCGCTGAAGTAGGGAAGCATCTAGGACCTGGGGAGCCAGCGGGAGGCCGGCGTGGCCTTGGAAAGAGGGCCAGGGGCAAGCGGTGTCAGATGAGGCTGGGGGCATGGGTGGGGACCAGATCCAGTTGGTGAATTCTCTGCCCACACAGAGTGGTGGAAAGGTTTGGCCTTTGGGGTCTCATGAGTTGGGGTTTGAGTCCCTGTCCTAGCTGTGCAACATGAGGACAACTTGCCCTCTCTGACCCTCAGCTTTCTTACCTGTAAGACAGAAGTAGTACCATTACCCAGATCATGGTTGTGGGGATGAAATGAGATGCCAATTTAGGTGTTCCTCACAGAGGTGGGCATGGGGTAAGTGTTCATGAACAGGACCTTCTGGCCTTCAACAGCAAATGGACTGAGGCTTTGAAGTAGGTTTGAAGTGTCAAGGCCCTACCTTCTGCCTCTGCAGCTTCTAGGAGGAAGGCATGGGAGTCTTTAGCAAGAAGAGCAGGGGATCATCCTGATTTCTGGGGAGCTGAATGTAAACTTCCTTACTTTATTGTCAGTGAGCACCCTGGAGTAGACTCAGGGCCCTCTCATTGATTGTAGCTCTTCATTAAGTCCTAACCGTGCAGAAATGAAAATAAACAACCGTTTGTTACGTGTTACAATGGATGAGCTCAGACAGGTAATGTGGAGCAAAGGAAGACAGACTCAACAGGGTGCGCACTGCTTCCTTCCATTTGTGAAAGTTCGTAACAGGCAAAAGGAATCAATGGTGCTAGAGGCGGTTTTCCTTCCGGGACTAGTGACTGAAAGGGGACACAAAGGTGATTTCTGGGGTGCCATATTCTGTTTCTTGATCTGGGTGTGTGTTTCACAGATGTGTTCATTTTATGAGTATTTATATGAAGACATATATGCATATGGGCATTTTCCTGTTTATGTATTAGACCTTAACTAAAATCGTTTATTAATAAATAACCTTGAACTCTACTTCCTGCCCTGGCCTGTTCCACATGTTTCCAATTCCTTTAGAGGCTTTGTCTATCCTTATCCTATGAATAAGAGCATATCTGTAAGAAACGCTTTGGATAGAAACAGAGTACCCAGGCTGGGGCATCCTGCACTCTGCTGGGACCCTCTCTGGCCCTGCATATTTTGCCTGATTTCTGGCTTCCAGCGCTGAGTGCAGTCAGTTGGCTGTACTCACACTTTTGGCACCAGCCTTCTTGGGGTGCTGGAGGTTGTCTGCTGTTTCTGGGAGTGTTTGGAGAAATGTTGGCTTGCAGATTTTGGCCTCTCCCAGCCTTGGTAGCCACCAGTAGAGCAGAGCAGGGGAGTATTAGAGCAGGGCTGATAAAGAGAAACCCCTCCAACTCCTCATTCTGTAGATGAGGCTAAGGCCAGAGGGGAGAAGTGGTGAACTGGTGATAGAATCAGGGTGGGTGTGGTGGTCTGACTCCTGGCCCAGAACTCTGACCACCACACCATAAGGACCCACAAGACACAAAGTCATTTCTTCCTTTAATTGGAAGGTTTCTGAGTGGGAGAGAATATAAAGGAAGGGAGTCTTTTCTGTTTGAACTTTAGGGTAGTGTAGTAGGA